GTACATACTTTATGTTTATTATTCCAAAAATTGTTTTAAACGGATATTTTTGTTCCCCTGTTCTAACAAAAACCTTGTCATACCCATGTCACACCACTAGATGGCAAAAACATCTATATCATGGCTTGAATATTATCACATAATTCAGCTCTTTTACTTATTTTAGTCCATGTTTCCTCTCAGTTATATTTTATATGTTATTATTTGACAGAGTCAATCGGCTTCATTGTTGTTTGTTTTTATGAGGCACAAAATGATAGTGGAGCATGTTCAGATCAGGCTCCATCATCCTTTCTGATGCGCTCCATACCTCAAATGTACAYAGTTCCATCAAAAACAGAACAGTTTAAAATATCAGGTTTTTATTCCCAAAAACCTGTTTGTGGATAGTTTAATATTTATATTTGGTGTATTGGAGAAGAAACGATCAATATTTATGTTGCTCTGATGAATAAATCTGCTGCAGGTTCTCAGTCATCCAGAATGTGGCAAATCCCAACAAACAAATAAATAAATAATGAACAAAGCAACTGAACTTTTGTAGTTGTTGTTTCCACATCWAAATCAAAGAGTAAAAACACTGTACCTTTTTTTTTTTTAAGTTTTGCCGTACATTAAATAAACTAGAAGACAAAATGAGAAACGAGACTTGATTGCCAGGTCAGTTTGAATATATTAAACATATGATCTCTCTGTCTAGATAAAACCGTAATCATGGCCAATTCTGGCCAACAAACCTTAATTGTGACACGTGACCTAAAGAATATTTTTGTTATTTTGGTGTGAAGATGAAAAGGGAAACCTAAAAATATTTAAAATAACTTTTTGGGAACCTGCTTCTTCCTTCGTGGATCAGTCCTGTCTGGGTCCATTTGGCTCCGACGTGCTGATGATGATGATGATGATGATGATGATGATTATGACGAAGATGATGATGATGATGATGATGATGATGATGATGATGCGCTGCTGTACAGACCCCCTTTCTGTCTGCCTCTCCCTGCCTCATTGGTCAGGATCATCACCCATCATGACATCACATCCAGCCGATCCGCAGGAAGGCAGCGGTGAGCGCAGATGATGCTGGACATCTCCGAGGACGCACACATTTTTACGCACGACCCCTCGCGGACTTCGCCTTTATTTTTGCGTCAAATTAAAGGAAGCGGATTAAAGTCATCAAGGTGTGTGATTGTGTGTTATGTGTGTGTTGAGAAGCTGTGCGCGGATTTGTAATAGTTTTCTCAGAGGACATGGACCGTGTGTRAGTCGCTGCGTTGCGGAGAGGAGCTGTCATTCACCCACCTGTTGCCAGGGGGTCTCGGACTAAACCCCCTCTCTTACCTCTACTATGACATTGGACGATATCATCATGGAGGATGTTGTTATTGACGTTGTGGGTGTCAGAGACAGCGCAGAGGAGCAGCTTTCACCTCTGGATGAATGTCGGAGCGAGCAGGGGTCTTCCAGCAGCCAGAGCGCGGAGCAGGACGGCTCTCCGCCGTCTGCGAAAACCAAGAACCCCGCGTCTGTGAAGCCTCCCTACTCCTACATCGCCCTGATCACGATGGCCATCCTGCAGAGCCCGAAGAAGCGCCTCACCCTCAGCGAGATCTGCGACTTCATCAGCCACCGCTTCGTGTATTACCGGGAGAAGTTCCCGGCCTGGCAGAATTCGATCCGGCACAACCTGTCGCTCAATGACTGCTTCGTCAAGATGCCCAGAGAGCCCGGGAACCCCGGCAAAGGGAACTACTGGACCCTGGACCCCAACTCGTCCGACATGTTTGAGAACGGGAGCTTTCTGCGGCGGAGGAAGCGCTTCAAGCGGCAGCATTTCCGCTTCGACCCGCTGAAGGAGCCGCCGCACCTGGAGCCTCTGCGCGCTTTTACGCACGGAGCGTACGGGCTGGGCGCCGCGGCTCTGCAGCTGCCGGCCCTGGAGCTGTACCCCTTCCTCCACCAGCACCCCCCATCCCCCACGGTCCCACCTGTCAGCAGCATCCTACCGGCTCTCTCGTCCTTCTTCTCCCGCGGCGGCCTCACAGCCAAGGCTTTCCTGCAGGCGCAGCCGGGCCTGGACGCCTTCTCCCCGGCTCCCTGTGGCGCCTTCTCCCCCTCTCCTCTCGGCTCTCCTTTCGTCTCCCCCGCGCTTTTCCACCCTGCTCCGCACCTCCTCAGTCTGCAGCAGGAGTACCAGAAGCTCCAGAGCGCGGAGCTGCCCAAACACATCCACACTAACACCGAACAGTCACACTAAAGCAGACTGTACACTCGTGTTTTCTCAGGTAACACAGACTTTTAAAGAACAATGGCGCAGTTGCTCCGTGGATGTTTTTGTTTGTTTGTTTGTTTGTTTGTTTTTTTTCAAGAACGTTTTATAAAACTTTTTCTTTAATCGCAACCATTCAACAGGCGCTTTAAAAACAATGAACGCGAATTTTCATCTTTAATATTTAAAAGACAAGTT